CACGCACGTAAACACGCACACACACACGCACGTAAACACACACACACACGCACGTAAACATGCACACACACACGCACACGTAAACACACACACACACGCGCACGTAAACATGCACACGGACGTAAACACACACACACACGCACGTAAACATGCACACACACACGCACACGTAAACACACACACACATGCGCACGTAAACATGTACACACACGTAAACACACACACGCACACATAAACACACACACACGCACGTAAACATGCACACACACACGCAGGTAAACATGCACACACACACGCACGTAAACATGCACACACACGCACGTAAACATGCACACGCGCACAGGTGAGTTGGATGTAGACGCGCGTGGGAGGTGAGGGGGACCGCAGAGTGGAAGTCGGAATGCACGTGTTTGTTCTGCCGCCTGGCGCGTAGCGCGCGCGCGTGTGTGTGGTGCCGGTGTGTAAACATCAGCACTGGGGAGACAAAGGCGGCCGGGCATGGTGGTGGCCACCCACGCCCTCGTGTGTCGTTCCGGCCTTCATAGGTGCTGCTCGCGAACAGCACTTGCCCCAACAGTTAAAGCTATACGGAGGATCCTTGTCTCTGTGTGTGATGGTGTGAGTGCAGTGTCTTTGTGTCTGTGCTCCCGTGTGTCTGTGTGCTCAGCGTGTGTGTGTCTATGGAGGAGGCTGGCGAAGGACGCGACTGCTCAGTTGGAGGCAGTCGCCCTCCAGCAATAACGAGGGGCAGAGGAGCGACGCTCACAACAACGAGTGGACGGCCAGGCGGATAAAACGCAGCAAGTTGGCACAGTAGGGGGCACATCTGATGCATCTGCCTGTCACTCCAGTCCGTGAACCCATGGCATCTGCTGGGTCTGTCCCGTGACCTGTCAGCGAGCCTTCGACACTTCACGTGGTCTCAAAGTGCACCTGGCCTGGCACAAGCGTCGTGGTGACGTTACCGCCACTTAGTGGCGAATGGCGGTTGTTTTTCTTCTTGTCTGTGTACGTGTGTGCGTGTGTCTGTGTACTCTGTGTGTGCGTGTGTGTGTGTACATGTGTGTGCGTGTGTCTGTGCACTCCGTGTGTGCGCGTGCACGTGTGTGCGCGTGCACGTGTGTGTCCGCGTGAACGTGTGTGTGCGTGTGCACGTGTGTCTGTGTGCGTGCACGTGTGTGTTCGCGTGAACGTGTGTGTGTGTGCGTGCACGTGTGTGTGCGTGCCCGTCTGTGTGCTCCGTGCAACGTGTCTCGTCCGCATTGGGCCCTGGCTCAGAGCGGCCCCGCGCACCACAAGGGCCCTCTGTGCGTGGCCCCACGGGGCCGTGTTTATGCAGCAATTATTATTATTGCTACTCCTCTCATGATTATTTTTATAAACTGTATTTGCTATGCAAATAGCCGCTCAGCGCCCGGCACATTCAGCTCTTTGAATCGCTCGCTCACTCCGGGTTGGGCCACAGGCGGGCACAGTTACCCACGCGCACACACGCGCATGCGGGCACGGGTTTACAAAGACAAAGGTCCCCCGTGTAGCCCATTCCAGGACTGTTGGTACAAGTGCTGTTGGCGGATACCACCTAACTTTCCATGCGAAGGTCACACGAGGAGGTGATGTGCCCAAGTCACGCCCGGCCGCCTTTGTCTCTCCGTGGCCGATGGATGGGGTTTTTGTTTATTTACTTTACACATGGCACCCCGGTGTGTAAATATGAGGCTGAGTCGACCTATGGGAGATACCCACGAACTGGTTCAGATCTTCGCCACTGATGTTCTCGCGTGGGCGGGTTCGTAGCGCAGTGCGCTTACCACTCTGCCACCGCTCCCCACGTATTACACACAACATACAAACACCCCCCCCCCCCCCTGTTAGGGCAAGTGCTGCTTGCGAGCACCTCATGAAGGCCGGCACAGTGCACGAGAGGGCGGATAGCCAACGCCACGCCCGGTCACCGTACCAGCTACTCGTTAAAGTTGAGTCGACATAGGGGAGGCCAGGACCAGTTCAGATATTCGTCTCCGATGTTGACCGTGGGTGGGAATCGAACTTTGAATGCCGGGTTCGCAGCGCAGTGCCGCTGATTACTGTGCCACCGCTCCCCACGTCTCACACACGTGCACGAACACACGTGCACGCACAGACATGCAATGTTACTCATGTAGTACACCAGCACGCGTTTCCGCACACACTCGGACACACACACACACTGGCATGTATTCACACACACATGCACGTTTACACTGGAAAGCATTTACACAGAAGACAATGTTCCCCCGTATATCCTTCATAGGCTTTTAGGACAAGTGATATTAGAGTGAGCGGGCGGGTATCGAACTCAGGTAGCCGGGTTTTGTAGCGCAGCGTGCTAACCGCTGCGCCACCGCTCCTCATCGGGCACGCACTTACACACGTACACGGGTGATCAGTTCCAACGTGTACCCATTTACACGTCGGTAGAGAGAGGGGGTGGCTATGTTGTGGGCAGCAGAGGGCAGAGTTTAGCGAAAAAACACGATTATGCTATACAGTACTTCTATGCCCCCACGTCCACGCTCCTTACCCGCCTGCACTGACCAGAGTGGTGAAGTATGGTCAAACAACCAAACCTCCCCCCGCATGGGAGACCCTCATCCAACAGCGAGCAAATGATGTCGGCGACGCAGCTTCTGCGTTGGCAGCGATGCACAAGCACAGTAAACACATCTACACAAACAAACAACAACAACGCGTGTGGCTTCAAATGAACAAAGTATATAATAGAAGATGTCTCGGTCAATAAAGGCCAACCAATCGTGGTTCTCTATGTGCTGGTGGAGAAGGGTCATTGCCCGAAACGTCGCCTATTATGTTTTTGTTCCTGTTTGAGGCCACATCCACAGAGTGTCAACCAGCAGTGGATTGACAAAGGGGGGGCTGTGATAATGATCTACGATTATAAGGCGACCTTAAACAATGGATCTCACAGCGCGGTGCGTAGATGTAGGCACGGGTCGACAGGCGGGCAGATTAAGTAGGTAAGGCATGGGGGCATATAAGTTACTGCACGAGGTAAATGCGCAGCCCTGCAATTGCTCGGCCACGCTACTGCTGGTGGACGGGGCTCCCGCTGGAGAGAGCTCCGGTCTTGGGGGCCCTCTCTGTGGGTGGAGTTCGCTGCTCTGCCCTCTGCTGTCCGCAATGGGCACAGCCTGCTACCACCGTTCATAATGGGGATGTGAGAGTTTTATTGTCTTATTTTATTCTCATTCTACGTGGTGACTTTACCGAAAGAACCAAAGAAGATGAATCCTTGCAGTCACGAAAGCTTTAAATCGAAATGGGGATTGTTGTTCATTGTCTAATTTTACTTTGACTATTCGTGTGATGATGGCGCTTTGATTGGTAGATTTGTGGCAGAAATGCGCCGCGTATGTAAATCGAAGATAAAAAACGGACTTTTCTGCAGTGTCTAGAATACGGTTTTTGTACACATCCCATCAGCCCCACGCGGCCGTCTGGGAGTGCAGAATTATTCAGCCAGCATTTGTTCAACACGAGAAAAGCTCTGTGTAGGTTCGACATGCAGTGTCTCATCAGCAACAGTCAGGCTCTATTGAATCAATTCTGATGAACTCGCCAGATGTTTGTAGGCGAGGACTGGTTTCGACATTCAGGGTCTCATCAGCAGCAGCCAGGCTTGATTGGACCTAAGTTCGACACCACGAAATGTTGAACAACACAAAACCAAACGAAAAATAAGCTTTGTTCTTGAAAAATATAACTGAAATAGAATATAAGCAGACGATGTCTCCTTCACATATAATCCGTCCCTTAACAAACAAAATGTAAAAGTTATATTTTTTCAAGAGCCTTTTTTTAATCGCATTCAGTAACAATAAAAAAACGCTCAATGTGTCCATGCAAGTGGCGAATAGGAGACGATGGTTGTTAACACGCAGTAGGCCTTCGCGACCAATATCATCCAGAAGACAAGTGTGTGTTTGGGTTAGATCGGGTAAATAAATAAATGTGTCGTTGAACCCGCCACCATCCGACACAGCCAATTGGTAAGGTTTGTCACGTAAACAGAACGTGCCAATTCGTTACTAGTACAGCACACCGATGTGCTGGAGAGTAAAACCCACTACGACGTTTCGCTGCCGATTACAACAGCAGCAGCAGCAATCAGCATCGTCAGGCGCTTTGCCCGAATTGTGAAGAAGCCTGTGAATGTGAACTAGGGCTGAACGATTAATCGATTTAAAATCGAAATCGCAATTTGAAAAATGCGATTAGTAAATCGCAAAGACTGCGATTTTAAAAGTCCTATTACTTTTCGATTTAAAGCTTTCGTGACTGCAGGGATGAATATTCTTGGTTCTTTCAGTAAAGTCACGTAGAAGGGAAGTAATAAAATAATAAAAAATAAAACAATACAATTCTCACGACGTTTTAATTGCAACACAAGCAATCATCATCAGGTGTGAAAACCACAGCAAGAAAAAAATATTGCTGTGGTTTGTTGCAACCTAAACGTCGTAATAATTTTATTGTTTTATTTTTCTTATTTTATTCTTTCCTATTACTTTTTTATTGGAATTGTTTTTATTATTTATTATTATACCTTTATTTATTTAACAATTGTTCTATGTTTGATTGTTCTATTTTAATTAAAACATTTTAATAAATACATGTTGGAAGCAATTCATATATTTTAAGTTCTCATCCTTGCATTAGAATATATTACAGAGCAGTTAATATTTTAATGGTATCTTGTGGTAATGCTCCATCACATGTTTGAAATCTATTACACAGTAAATATTGAACTGAAGCTTCACTTTAAAACGTTTAATCGCAATATCTGTCAGAAAAATCACAATTTGATATTTTCCCCAAATCGTTCAACCCGAACGTGAACTCGCACCGTTAGCGAATCGCGTTTGTCATGTGCGCGCGGCGACCCGTAGCTCCAGCCCCCCCACCCCTCATAACACCCCCCCCCCGCGGCGCCCTCCACGTGACCTGCCCGGCGTCTCCCCCCACGTGACTCCGCGGACTCCGGCCCCTGACCAAGATGGCGGCTACGACGGCGGAGGAGCCGCGCAGCTCTCCCGAGTTGAGAGACGAGGGGGTCCTGGGCGCTCTGGGGGTCCTGGGGGACCTGGGCGCTCAGGGGGACCTGGGGGACCTGGTGGACCTGGGGGATGAGACGGGAGCGGGGGCAGCAGACGGCGACGACGCGGAGGAACTGTTCGCCAGCACGGAGAGCACCTTGGAGGTGAGGGCCGAGGATGAACGCGGATAGAGCCCCCTAATAGGGGTCCCCTGATCCCCCTCCCCCCCCGGGTCTCCGTTTCGGGGTCGAGCGGTGCAAGGGGTCCCGGGGTCCCGGCATGCATATGTCTAGGGTTCAGTGGTCCAGGAGTTCTCGGCTCTAGGGCTCCCTTTGTAGAGATGAAGGGCTCCCCAAGTTCCGGAGTCCCCGCTAAGGGGGTCTCGTGGCGCTGGAGTCTTTCCAGGGGCCCTGCGGGAACATTCTTTATTGGTTGCAAGATGCGGTTGGTCCCAGGGTCCCGGAAGGGGCCTGCGACCCCATGAAGTGGTGCAGACATTCAGGGTTCGGTAGCTGACACCAACTAAGACTAAATGGTCCCTTATTTACTTGGGATGCAGAGAGGCCGCGTGAATTCACTCTAGACGTTTCGTGCAACGGACCCCAATCAGTAGTTGCGGGAGTCGCGTGCCAGACGGACGCAGGGGTTCGCTTATCCCCATCCTCTGGGGGTCTTAAAGATTCGGGGGGTGAGGAGCCGCGGGGGGTGGGGGTTGGGGTTCTGAGCCGCGTCTCCCAACCTCGATGCCTCCCTCCCCCAGCCCAGCCCGTCCAGCCCGGACGCGGGTAGCCCCAGCGAGGAGGAAGACGACGAAGACGACGACGAGGCGGTGGCGGCGACGGCGGCTGGGCCACAGGGGCGACTCGGGGAGGCCCAGGGGACCCGGGCCCCCGACCGCGGAGAGAGCGGTGCCGCCGCCGCCGCCGCCGCCGCGACCCCGCGGCTGGAGCAGCAGCCACTGCTGGATGACAGCGACGGCGACGACTTGTTCGGCGGTGCGTGCCGTGGACCGGGGTCTCGAGACCTCGTCAAGCCCCCGGGAGCCGTGGCTCTTGGTGGGGGGGGGGGGGGGGTCCTTGAGTCTAGTTGAGTGGTGGAGTGGTGACCGTGGCTGGAGCCCTGGGTAGATTCATTATTGATGTTCTCATCGTGAGGCCTTCATCCAGCACTGGGTTGATCGTGACTGACAAGCCGATTTGTGGAACATGACGAGTTCGCCCGTGACTCCTCCACCCGTGACTCCTCCACCCGTCACCCCTCCACCCGTGACTCCTCCACCCGTGACCTCACGCCGTGACTCGTAGTTTGGTCAATCTGTTTTCGAGCCGCTGCGCTCAGTGTTACTGTTAGCAATCACGTGGTGAACGCTGTAACAACGCGCTGCGATCGCTGTTGTGGGGGCTGTTCGGTAATTGCCAGCTGCCGACGCTGCTGCTGCTATAAACAGGAATTGCAATGGAGGCCGGATCCGCTAGAGGGGAAGCTGCTCCACTCATGTGACTCGAGTCACGCGTCTCCCCGTGGCCCCGGTGCCACTCATGTGACTCCACCACCACGCCCCGCCTGGAGGGCCTGTGCCGGGGTGTGGCTGGACTGCTGCTGCTGCTGGTGGTGCTGGTGGTGCTGCTGGTGGTGGTGGCGCTGGTGGTGCTGCTGCTGCTGGTGGTGGTGGTGCTGGTGGCGGGGGTTGGGAAAGCCCTCCGCCGGGCTGGCTGCCTAGCTGCTGCTGTTGGGGCTTGCCTCTCGTGGCTGGCTGGGTCAGCCGAGGCCGAAATTTGTTGCGGTTGGCTGTGACCCCTGCAGTGGCTAAGGGGTGGTAAACCGTCATAGAGGCGGTAAACCAAAACAGCGGCTCTCATCCCTGCGCCGTCTCCGCCCGCGCCACCCAGCGGCGTGGGGTGGAAGCGAAGTTGTTAGAATCGGACACGGCCGACTCTGGGCTCCCCACCCTCCCCACCACCCAGACCCACCAGACCAGCACCATCGGAGTGAGTGTATATGAGTGTGTGTATGGGTCGACTCGGCCTCAAATGAGTACCTGGTGCGGTGTGTAAAAACATCGCCACTGGGAAGACAAAGGCGGTCGCGCGTGGTGCTGGCCGCTCACCCCCTCGTGTACCGTGCCAGCCTTCATAGGTGCTCGCTAACAGAACCTACCCCAACAGTCTGTTAAGGCTGCACGGGGGATCTTTGTATGGGGACCAGTGGGAGGCACAGCTGGTGCATCTGACAGTCATTTTGGTCAACCCATTGCACTTGGCTCTGTCCCGTGACCTGTTAGCCTTGGGAGTGCACCTGGCCTGGCACAATCACCGTGGTGATGTCACCTCCACTTCATGGCGAATGGTAGCTGTTGTACGGGGAGCGGGAGTGTAGTGGTTAACGTGCTGCACTACGAACCCAGCGACCCAATTTCTGCTCACGGCCAACACCGGTGACGATTATCTGAACCGGTCCTGGGCCTCCCCTCAGTCGACTCGGCCTCAAATGAGTACTTGGCGTGGTGTGTAAACATCGCAGCTCGGGAGACGAGGAAGACGGTCGGGCGTGGTGCTGGCCACCCACGCCCTCGTGTGCCGTGCCGGCCTTAATAGGCACTACTCACTATCAGCACTTGCTCCTACAGTCTGTTTAAGCCTATACAGGGAATCTTTATCTTTGTACACGTGTGTGTGTGTTGGAAGATGGCCCTGATGAGGATGATGAGGAGGTCCGCCCGGGGGGGCCCCCTCCGGGATCGGCTCTGCTGGAGTCGCCCCCCCTCGTACCGCCAGCCCCAGCGGAGCTACACCAGAGACCCCCAGCACAGGACGCACAGCACTCACACAGCAGCACTGACGAGGTGAGACACCTGCACGCAAACACAAAGGTCCCCCTTGTAGCCTACACAGCCTCAAATGAGCACCTGGAGAGCTGTGTAATCGTCGCCACTCGGGAGATAAAGGCGGCTGGGCGTCGTGCTGGCCACCCACCTCTCGTGTGCCATTCCAGTCTTCATAGGTGCTTGCTAACAGCACTTGCCCCAACAGTCTGTTAAAGCTATACGGGGACCTTTCTCTTTACATTTATTTTTACTGTGCGTGTGTTAAAGGCTGTGTTCCTCCCTAGGTGGAGGAGGAGGAGGCGGGGGACAATGTCTGTGACCTGGTCGTCAATGTCACTGAGCCTGAGAAAGTCGGTGAGTGCTGAGAGTGGGGCTGAGGAGGTGGGTGGCTGGGTAGTGAGGTGGGGATGCGGGACTGGAGTCAGAGGGGTGATTTGCGTGTGTGTGCATGCACACGTACACGTTTGTGTGTGTGTGACCTGTGGTGTAGCGGTTAGCGTGCTGCGCTACGAATCCGACGAACCAAGTTCGATTGCTGCTCACGGCCAACGTCGATGACGATTATCTGAATTGGTCCTGGGCCTCCCCTAGGTTGACTCGGCATCAAATGAGTACCTGGTACGATGTGTAAAAATTGCAATTGGGGAGACAATGGCGGTCGGGCGTAGTGCTGACTACCCACCCCCAAGTGTACCGTGCCAGCCTTCATAGATACTCCCTAACAGCACTTGCCCCAACGGTTAAAGGCTGTGTAAGTGACCTTTGTGTATACGTGCATGTGCGTGAGTGTACATGCGTACTTGTAACCGCGTGTCCCCCAGGTGTTAGGTGCTTGCTATGAACAGCACTTTCCCCAACCGTCTGTTAAGGCTATACCGGGGGGGGGGGAACTTTGACTTTGTTTCAGGTGATGGCATGAACGCCTACATGGTGTATCACGTCAACACCAAGGTGAGCGTTACTCGCGAGCCGGTGAGCGACGAGGTGAGAGTGCTGTGAGTGTGTGCTTGGGGTATATGAGAGAGAGTTCATTGGGAGTGTGTATATGAGCGAGTGTGTATATCACCGTGAGTATGACAGTGAGTGTAGATGCGTCGGTGTATGCTCGTGAGTGTATGTGAGTGAGTGAGCGGTTATCGCGCTGCCCTATGAACCCAGCAACCCGAGTTCGATTCCTGCTCATTGCCAACACCAGCGACGAATATCTGAATTTATCCTGGGCTTCCCCTAGGTCGACTTAGCCTCAAATGGGTACCTGGTGCTGTGTGTTAACATCGCCACGAGAGAGACCAAGGCGACCGGGCGTGGTGCTGGCCACCCACACCCTCGTACCGTGCCGGCCTTCATAAGCGCTCGCTAACAGCACTTGTCCCAACAGTCTGTTAAGGCAACATGGAGGGGTCTGTACATGCGAGTAATTGTGAGTGTGTGTGAGAGATTGTGAGTGTGTGAGAGTGAGTGTGATTTGAGTAATAGTGAGTGTGAGTAATTATGAGTGAGTGTTGTGAGTGATTGTGAGTGAGAGTAATTGTGAGTGAGTGTGAGTGAGTGTGAGGAATTGTGAGTGTGCGAGTGTGAGAGTGAGTGTGTGAGAGTGTTCAGTTCAGTTCGTTTATTTTGGTGTAGCCCTGTGAGCCATTCGGCTCTTGAATCGGGTGCAACCGCAACAAACACAAACATGAACAAGAAAAACATCTTAAAGTGACTACGCACAACAGAAAAATTCAGAAAAAAACCAGCAAAGTCTTCCATAAAAAGCACCGCGTATTAACGCTGTGTGCAAAAATCCCAGTGGGATGCAAGTCAAACAATAACAACAATAAGACAATTTATATTACAGTTACCAGTCTAACTCTGTGTACTGCAACCAACAAATATGGCTAAACAAGAACCTTTTCGAAATCACCAAAATAAAGCTATAAAACAATGTACCAGTGATCATAGGAACTGTGATTCCAATTTAACAATAAACGATATACCGTATTTTCCCGCATATAACCCGCGGGGTATACCACTTTTTACAAACAAAACAAGACCCTGAGGGGTATATGGAGGTGCGGGCTATCCCAAAAATATTTTACACGTGTGACATGTCATGACTCGTTTAAATGTTTTCATGGTAGGACTATCCACTATGCAACACTTACCTTTGACTAAAGCACTGCTGAATAAACCACTCACACTAAAATTGCAAGTTATCACGTTTTAAATGAATTGATTGTACAATTAAACGACAATGTTTGAAGTGCGCGCACTGTTTACCGGCGACGGGAGAGCTGAGGGGAGGGATAGTTGGGGGGTTGGGGGTGGGGCAGCTGGGGGGAGGGAGAGGTGGAAGGGGGGCAACGGCGTAACCGTAGTGCCGCTATTGCCTGCGCAGTGCGCACTCTACCAGTGCTAAAACTGTACTTATCTACCAGTTATGTGTTACTTATTGGATATTTATTTTGGTTACTTATTTACTGTTTTAAGTTCACTCGTTTCCGATTAGTTGTTTTCTTTGTGCAGGTTATGTTTTTAATGTTAACAATTGATAGTGGAATGGATTACAAATGTAAACTTCGTATTACTATGATGGAATAAAGCTGCGGTAACGACGTTAAATATATGAATGCATGCGGGGTATATGGAGGTGCGGGCTATCTGAAATTTGTTTTACACAAAACACTCTTTTTGCGGGGTATATGCGTATGCGGGCTATATGCGGGAAAATACGGTACGTAACATGTACGAGCAAACTTTGCAGCCATAGCATCATGAGATGCGTATTACGACCAAGGAAGGCGGCATCTTTGCATGGACAAGCAGCACCTTGCACACCATTGGGTGGCAAAAACGTCGTCTTCCTCATGCTCACATATCCCTCACACAGAGCCGCGTGTCGGCATTTTCAGGCTGAGTCGACCTCGAGGAGGCCCAGACAGGGTTCAGATTTTTCCCGCCATCGCCGCCATTCGCCCCGACCGGAAGCAGAAGTGTGCGAGTGAGTGTGAGAGTGAGTGAGTGTGTGAGTGTGAGAGAGTGAGTGTGTGTGAGTGAGTGTGTGTGAGTGTGTGAGAGTGAGTGTGTGAGTGATTAAGAGTGCCCCCCCCCACTCTGCAGACCTCACTGAGCGGGTTCCGCGGATCGGAGTTTGGGGTAAAGCGCCGATTCAGCGACTTCCTGGGGCTTCACTCGAAGCTGTCCACCCGGCACGGCGCTGTGGGGGTCATCGTGCCCCCTGCGCCTGAGAAGAGCGTCATCGGTACGCCCCCCCACTCCGAGCCCCTCACTCCGAGCCACCCCCCAATCCGAGCTTCCCACGCTGCTCCTCTAAGCCCCTCACCCCAGTCGACGACCTCAAGCCCTGTGGCCCCAACCCCCCCTCCCTCCATCCTGGGGGACTTCTCAGGGCCCTCCCTGTGGTGGCGTTGGGCTGGGGGATCTTGCGGGGCCGAAGGGGGTCTGGGGACCCTATGAGGTGGGGGAAGCTGGGACGATGGGACCCCCATGTGTTGTGGGGGGACCCCCATGTGTTGTGGGGGGACCCCCATGTGTTGTGGGGGGACCCCCATGTGTTGTGGGGGGACCCCCATGTGTTGTGGGGGGACCCCCATGTGTTGTGGGGGGACCCCCCCTGTGTTGTGGGGGGACCCCCCTGTGTTGTGGGGGGACCCCCCTGTGTTGTGGGGGGGACCCCCCTGTGTTGTGGGGGGACCCCCCTGTGTTGTGGGGGGACCCCCCTGTGTTGTGGGGGGACCCCCCTGTGTTGTGGGGGGACCCCCCTGTGTTGTGGGGGGACCCCCCTGTGTTGTGGGGGGACCCCCCTGTGTTGTGGGGGGGACCCCCCTGTGTTGTGGGGGGACCCCCCTGTGTTGTGGGGGGACCCCCCTGTGTTGTGGGGGGACCCCCCTGTGTTGTGGGGGGACCCCCCTGTGTTGTGGGGGGACCCCCATGTGTTGTGGGGGGACCCCCATGTGTTGTGGGGGGACCCCCATGTGTTGTGGGGGGACCCCCATGTGTTGTGGGGGGACCCCCATGTGTTGTGGGGGGACCCCCATGTGTTGTGGGGGGACCCCCATGTGTTGTGGGGGGACCCCCATGTGTTGTGGGGGGACCCCCATGTGTTGTGGGGGGACCCCCATGTGTTGTGGGGGGACCCCATGTGTTGTGGGGGGACCCCCATGTGTTGTGGGGGGACCCCCATGTGTTGTGGGGGGACCCCCATGTGTTGTGGGGGGACCCCCATGTGTGTGGGAGTGGGGGGATCTGTAGCTGGGGGAGTTGTTGGGCACGGTGGGGCCCTGTTGTGGGTGGGTAGAGGGGAGCGAGGAGATTGAGTCCACACACGACCTAACGCTCGTTAACGCTGGCGGTGGGTGGGGGGTGCGCTGCTGCTGTAGGGATGACGAAGGTGAAGGTGGGGAAGGAGGACCCCTCCTCCGCGGAGTTCGTGGAGAAACGGCGCTCCTCGCTCGAGAGGTGCCCCCGCACCTCACTCACGCCCCCACCTCACTCACGCCCCCACCCCACTCGCACCCCCACCCCACTCGCGCCCCCACCCCACTCGCGCCCCCACCCCACTCGCGCCCCCACCCCACTCGCGCCCCCACCCCACTCACGCCCCCACCCCACTCGCGCCCCCACCCCACTCGCGCCCCCCTCTACCCTCTCCCCCGTCGCTCTCCTCCACAACTGACCACCGCCCTCTCCCACGACCCACCCCCTCCCTGCCATTGTCATGGTAATCGCTTGTCCCGCAGGTACCTGCAAAGAGTAGCGAAGCACCCGACCCTCCTGCAGGACCCAGACTTCCGCGACTTCCTGGAGCGCGATGAGGTGAGGGCCGATCTTCCTCCGCCTTGTCACACGCACGCAGACAAAGACCTCCGTGTAGCCCATCTGCGCTATTGGCGCATCTGCTGTTAGCTAGCGCCCAAGGGAGTGGTGTGGGGCCTCAAGCACACCCGGCCACCTTTGTCTCCCTCGTGGCAATGTTTACACACTGCACCAGGTACTCAGTTGAGGCCTAGTTGACTTGGGGAGGCCTGGGACCGTTCAGATATTCGGCACTGACTTTGGTTGTGAACGGGAATGTAACCCGGATGGCCGGAGCTCATTGCGCAGTGCCCCAAACGTCCGTTAAGGCTGTATACGGTGGATCTTTGTCTTTGTGTGTGTGTGCAGCTGCCCCGTGCTGTCAGCACTCAGGCGCTGAGTGGAGCCGGACTCATGCGAATCGTCAGCAAGGCGGCCGAGGCTGTCAACAAGATGACCATCAAGATGAGCGAGCTGGACCCAGTAAGCTCAATGTCTTCGTTAACGCACTACCTCAGCTGCGCATGTGGTGGTGATGGCGGTGGTGGTGGCGATGATGGTGGTGAGGGTGGCAGTGGTGGAGGTGGTGGTGGTGGTGGCGATGTTGGCAGTTGGTGGTTTTTGCCGGTGGTGGTATTCGGCGGCGGTGGTGGTAATGGCAGTGGTGGTGGTGGCAGCAGCGGTTGTGATCATGATGATGATGACGACGTTCGTGGTGATGAAGGCAGTGGCGGTGGAGGAGGTGGCAGTGTCGGAAGTAAAGGTGTTTGCGTGTGTGCATGGTGGTGGTTTTTGTGCCAGTTGTCATAGTTTTCTGTGTATGTGAGCGTACGTGGTAGGGAGCGGCTGTGCGGTGGTCAACTCGGCGAGCCGAGTTTGATTCCCGCTCACCGCCAACATCGGTGACGGTTATCTGAACCGGTTCCGGGCCTCCCCGAGGTCAACTCGGCCGTAAATGAGCACCTGGTGCTGTGTGTAAACACCGCCCAATGGAGAACTGTGGAAACAAAGGTGGCTGGGCATGGTGCCAGTCACACCGGCCCTTTGTTGGCCTCTATAAGCGTTTTCTCACAGCGTTTTATCCAACAGTCTGTTGATCCTGTGCGGGGGATCTCTGCGTTTGCTGCGTAGTGGTTCGAGGAGAAGCAGCTGCAGTTTGAGAGCCTGGATCAGCAGCTACGGAGACTGCACGGGAGCGTGGAGGGGCTGGTGGTGCACCGAAAGGGTGAGAGGCCTCACCGTCGCTCATCATAGCGCACCACCGCAAGAGTGCGTGGCACCATCACAGACGTCACACGTAGTGTAACCCAACCCATCACACGCCATTCGTGTGTCCGTGTGTCTACGTGTCCGTGTCCATGTTTCCCCATGTGTCCGTGTGCGTGCCATTCATCTGTGCCTTCGTGTGTCCGTGTGCCAGTGCCACCTTGTGTGTATACGTTTGTTTGTATTCCCGTGCCCTCCCGTGCCCGCGTGTGCCTGTGTGTGTGTTTTTGCGTCTCTGTTCTCATGTATCCGTGTAGCCCTAGCCCTGTGCCCGCGTGTCCGTGTGTCCCTGTGCCCGCGTGTCCGTGTGTCCCTGTGCCCGCGTGTCCCTGTGCCCGCGTGTCCACGTGTCCGTGTGTCCATGTCCCCTTTTGACATGTGACCGTTTGTCCAACTGCACTTGCCCCCGTCTGTGTGCCCACACCCCTGTACATGCATCTGTCTGAGCGTCTCCTTGCCCGCCGTGTGACCCCCCCCAGCCCCCCCCGCGTCGTGACCGCACGTGAGCGCACGTGAGCGCACGTGAGCGCACGTGAGCGCACGTGAGCGCACGTGAGCGCACGTGACCGCACGTGACCGTACCATTTGTGCCGCCCTCCCCCACCCGACCCGACACCCTCCGCCCACCTCCCTCCAGACCTGGCGCTGTGCACGTCTGCGTTTGCGCGCAGCGTGGCGATGCTGGGCACCTCGGAGGACCACACGGCGCTGTCGCGCGCGCTCTCCCAGCTGGCCGAGGTGGAGGAGCGGGTCGAGGGCCTGCACGGCGCCCAGGCCCAGGCCGACTCCTTCCTGCTGGCCGAGCTGCTCGCCGACTACGTGCGGCTCATCGGCTCCGTGAAGGTGCGGCCTCGCGCGCGCCCCCGCCCGCAAGGCTGACCCTCGTTTGGCCGCCACCGCCGCCAATCGCCGGCCCGCGCTCGGCTCAATCGCGTGGGCCCCCGAGTCCGGCCCCGCCGCGAGCGTCGCTCCGCCAGCCCTCGCCACGACCAATGGTTGGGTTTGGCCTCACCGGCAAAGCCGCCGTGCCTGGCCTCTACCCAGTTGGCCGTGAGCCTGAGCAGCCTTCGCAAACCTGCTCTGTGGTTGCGTCTCTTTGTTGCCTGTCTGTATATGTACATGTGTGTGTGTCTGTATCTGTGTGTGTGTGTGTGAGAGTGTATGTGTGTGTGTGTGGCAGCGATAATGTAGAGGTTGGCACGCTGCACTACGGACCCGGTGACCCGAGTTCGATTCCCACTCATGGCCAACACCAAGTGACGATTATCTGAACCGATCCTGAGCCTCGCCTAGGTCGACTGAACCTCCAAATGAGTACCTGGTGTGGTGTGTTAACATCACCGTTAGGGAGACAAAGGCGGCCAGGCGTAGAGTTGGCCACCGACCCCCTCCCGTGCTAACAATAATAATGGGGATCTTTGTGTGCGATGGGTAGTGCAGCGGTTAGCGCGCCAAATTCCGGTTCCGGACCTCCCCCAGTTCCCATAGCCGTAGAGTAAGAAAGCGGCGAGGCGCTGGAGCTGACCACCAACCTCCTCGTGTGCCCTTGCGGCCTTCATAGCTACTCGCTAACAGCACTGGCTCCCCGAGAGTCGGTTCAGGTCGCACAGCAGCAGGTGATCGCCGTCTCTGTGTGTGCGCGCGCGCGTGTGTGTGTACATGCGTGTGTGTGCGTGTATATGCACATGCGTGTATATGTACGTGTGTGTGTGTGTTTTTGTGTATCAGTCGAGCGGCATTATCTTTTCATCGGTTGCGTAACGCTGTGTGGAAGCTACCTGGTCTGTCGCTCCGCACAAAGCTTCGGGTCTTCTCGGCCACGGTCATTCTCTCCCTTCTCTATGCTTGCGAAACGTGGACCCCCCTAATGGAACATCTTCGCCGGTTGGAAACATTTAGGCTAGCCTGCCTACGATCCATCCTGGGTTTAACCAGGCTGGATTGTGTGAGGAGCTCACAAATCCTCGTTAAGATCTGGACAAAGTCCCATCGGTGAGCACCTTCGGCAGGCAAGGCTGCGTTGGCTGGGCCATGTAGCCCGCATGCCCAGCCACCGCATGCCGAAACAGCTTTTATTCGGCCGGATCGAGGGGGCTAAATGGGTGCGGCACGGGCTAGAGAAGAGATGGAGTTATGTGGTACAGGAGGACGTGGAGCTGAGTGGACTTGCCAGTGACTGGTACCAGCGGTGTCAAGATCGGCCTCTGCGGAGGAGGCTCGTGAAGGACGCTACTGGGCAGTTCAAGACAGTCGCCCTCTAACAACAACGGAGGGCGGAGGAGCGATGCTCACTAAGAGTGGAGCGCCGGGTGGCTAAAGCACAGCAGGTTGGCACAGTAGGGGGCACAGGTGGTGCATCAGCCAGTCATCTCAGTCAGTCGACCCGTGGCACCTGGGTCTGCCCCGTGACCTCCTGCCAGCGGGCGTTCGACACTTCACGTGGCCTCAAGGTGCACATGGCCTGGCACAAGCATCGTGTGGACGTCACCGCCAGTTAGTGGCGAATGGCAGTTGTTGTATATACGTGTGTGTGTGTACGTGCGTGTGCGTGCGTGCGTGTGCGTGCAGGCCGTGTTCGACCAGCGAGTGCGCTGCTGGCAGCGCTGGCAGGACGCGCAGGTCACGCTGCAGAAGAAGCGCGAGGCCGAGGCGAAGCTGCAGTCGGGGGCCGCAGCCAAGGGGGACAAACTGCAGCAGGCGCGCGACGACATCCACGAGGTGCCCCAGCCCTGCCACAGCACCAACGCACGCACGCACGCTTCGGCCACACACTCGCACGGGTAGTGCTCGAGCAGGTAACACTCGCTCACACGGGCAATACCTGTATGCAGGCCACAGGCCACGCTCACTCATGCAGGCCACACACTCGCATGTGAACACTTGCCACCACTCCTTGCTTCTGGAGTTTCAGTCAGGGTGGCCACCTTAACTGAATTATGAATGCACACAATCCAGCTGCTTCTCCTCATGCTGCTGCTCTCATGCTGCTTCGCGTGAGCGCTTGATTCGAGGCGCTTGCCTCGTGGTGTAATCGCTGGTTCCTTCTCTCGCCATGCTTCACCAAGGAGGTCACGGAGGTGTGTACCGCATGGAGCGACGGCGCACGACACGCACAACACGCACACACCACATGGCATGCATCACACACCAACATACGGCACACACGCACACATGCACACCACACAGCATGCACCACACGGCACACACCACACACGGTACAAGCAGCACACCCACACATTACGCACGCAGAACACACCATACAACACACACCCACACATGACACAACCCACACATGACACACACCAACACATGACACACACCCACACATGACACAACCCACACATGACACACACCAACACATGACACACACCAACACATGACACACACCAACACATGACACACACCAACACATGATACACACACCCCCACACACCCCCACACACGACACACTCCCACACACGACACCACTCACACACACGACACCACCCACACACCACACACCCACATACGACCCCACCCACACACAAGACACACCCACACACGACACCACCCACACACCACACACACCCACACACGACACACACCAACACACGACACACACCCCCACACACCCCCACACATGACACACTCCCACACACGACACACCCGCACACGACACACACCCGCACACGACACACACCCGCACACGACACACAAACCCACACAGCACATTCCGCACGGCACATTCCAAACAGTACACATTATGTGGCACACATCTCTCGCCCACACATGGCACACCCAGCATGGCAAACCCCACACGGCACACCCAGCAACTCTCATGCACCCAACCCTACCACTGACTGATCAGACTTCCTGTGTCCAGGGTGGTGTGTGGCGTGGTGCTGCGGTGTGTGGTATCTTGTGGAATGTGATAACGATCTGTGTGTCTGTGTCTGGGGAGCGGTGATGTAGCGGTTAGCGCGCTGCGCTATGAACCTGGCGACCCAAGTTCGATTCCAGCTCACGGCCAACACCAGTGATGATTATCTGAACTGGTCCTCGGCCTCCCCTAGGTCGACTCAGCCTGAAATGAGTACCCGGTGCGGTGTGTAAACATCGCCACTGGGGAGACAAAGATGGCTGGGCGTAGTGTTGGCCACTCACTCCCTCGTGTGGTGTTCCGGCCTTCATAGGTGTTCGCTAACAGCACTTGCCCCTACAGTCTGTGGTGGGGAGTTGGCACAGTAGGGGGCACGTGGCCTCAACGTGCACATAGCCTGGCACAAGCGCCGTGGTGACGTCACTGCCACTTAGTGGCGAATGGCGGTTGTTGTTGTTGGGGAGCGGTAGTGGCTAGCACGCGGCACTATGAACCTGGCGACCCGAGTTCGATTTCTGTTCATAGCCAACACCAGTGATGATTATCTGAACTGGTGCCGAGCTTCCCCTAGGTCGACTCTGCCTCAAATTAGTACGTACCTGGGGCGATGTGTAATCATCGTCACTTGGGAGACAAAGGTGGACGGGCGTGTGTCTTGCCGGCCTTCATAGGTGCTCGCTAATAGAACTTGCCTCAACAGTCTGTTAAGGCTACACGGGGGATCTTTGCCTTTGTGCGTGGTGTAGCCTCAAAGTGCATCTAACCTGGCACTTTCACTGTGGTGACGTCACCGCCACTCCGTGGCGAATGCTTGTGGCGTGCATTGAGGCTGGTTGCCATCTGTAAGAAGCCTCTGCCGTCCTTCCGCTGTGGAGACGGGCATCCTCCTCGGACTTTGTTCAAACCCACAGTTGGCGTCCTCCCCAACCCTCCTCCTGATGCCTCGACGACGGGCAACGGTTGCGGCTCCGGAAATGTGGTTGGTGCAACCGCACGCAGGCGGCCAACCACCAGAGCCGCACGCGGGGTCACCGCGGGGTTGCCGCGGGGTCACCGTGGGGTCGCCGCGGGGTCACTGGGTGAATGCCAAATGGCTGCACTGGGTGCCCCAGTCCAGCCCTCCTCCCCAGACAACCCTGGCTGATGGAGGAGGCGTTTCCGTCGAGCCGAGTAAAAGCGGCAGGCCCGCAACATGCCGCGCTGGGGGAGCGAGGGGCCTTTACCGGTGACGCGGCAGCCCAGCGGCAGCCGAGTTTGCCGCTTGTTGTTGCAGAGCTTTGCGGTTCGAATCCAGCGGCCCGCCCTGGTTTATACTGCGGTAGTGCGTATTAACCGTACAAATACTACTACTCGGCGCCGTCTGCTTCGCTCGCACCGGACGTGATAGATCCCGTGACGTCGTTCGCAAGAGCGAGGCCATCGCGTGCCGGCGTTGCGGTCCAAATTTGGCAAATTCTTTTTTAACTCGCTTGGAATAAACGGCAGCAGTCATCGCCCCCCCCCCCCCTACACTGCGAAAACTCGGCGGGACCCTCCTGGAGAAGGATCATAGGGCTCGGTGAGGCTGTCCTGGGTAAGCGAGCGGAATCGGAACAAAAAAAATGATGAACGCTGCAGCCCACGCTCGGAGGTTCGGAGAGCCGCGCGGCGCTGCGAGGATGAGTGGTGGTCACGGACTGCCGAGGAGATGCAGGCTGCGTGAGCAGCTCGCGACCACAAATCGCCCTTCGGTCCCTTCCAATGACTTGCAGCGACACATCTGCCGTGTGTATTGGGAGAGCAGCGGTTATTTGATCTCCGAACCCCAAGGTCCGGTCTGCAGATGAGTGGGATTTGATGTGCGGTGTGTGGTGGTGTGACGGCGTGACTGGGTGGTGTTCCCCTTGCGGTTGATGGTTTGACGGTGCGGTGTGTTTGACGCTGTGTTGTGACGCTGCGGTGTGATGGTGTGTATGTCGTGACCGCTGCATTGTGACATTGTGACGTGACGGGGTGACTTTTGAATGCTTTTGACATTGTAGTACGGATTTTGTAGTGTGATGTTGTGGTGTAGTGGTGTGATGTTGCGGTGTAAGTGGTGTGATGTTGCGGTGTAAGTGGTGTAATGTTGTGGTGTAAGTGGTGTGATGTGGTGCAAGTGGTGTGATGTTTTGTTGTGACGTTGTGGTGTGACGCAGTGGGAGGGCAAAGTGGAGCAGGGAGAGGCGGAGTTTGAGTCGATCTCCAAAACGATTCGCACTGAGGTGGCGAGATTCGAGGTGAGGCCACACTCGCCACACTTAACCACACTCACCGTCCACACACCTCAGTCGCCACGTTCACCATACCACTCCCCACACCACGTTCACATCACTCACCACTCTCACCACACACACCACACCTCACCACATTCACCATACAACTCTCACCACACACAACTTACTTATCACCGACCACACCACGCTCGCCACACTCACCACTCACTATGCTCACCTCACTCGCCACACTAACGTCTTCACCGGAGCAGCATACGATGATCGTTCACCTCATCACAGTCACCTCATTGTGGCCTCGTCTTGTTCCGTATCCTCATCACACTCCCTGTCTCGTCACTCGCTCACCTCGCCGTGTCATCACTCACCTCTTTGTGTGGTCACTCACCTCACTGTCGTCACCTCGTGATGTCACTCACCTCGCCGTGTCATCACTCACCTCTTTGTGTGGTCACTCACCTCACTGTCGTCACCTCGTGATGTCACTCACCTCTTTGTGTGGTCACTCACCTCTTTGTGTGGTCACTCACCTCTTTGTGTGGTCACTCACCTCACTGTCGTCACCTCGTGATGTCACTCACCTCGTCGTGTGGTCACTCACCTCTTTGGTCACTCACCTCACCGTCACCTCGTCGAGTCGTCGCTCACCTCGCCGTGTCGTCGTTCACCTCGTCATGTTACTCCCCTTCACATTTGCTCACCTCGTCGTGCCGCGTGCAGAGGGAGCGAGTGAGAGACTTCAAGCACGCGGTGGTGTCTTACCTCGAGGCCCTGGTGCACACGCAGGCACAGGTGAGGCGTGTGACGAGGTGTGACGATATAACGAGGTAGTGTGATGAGGCAGCGAGGTGTGACGAGGCGTGTGACGAGGCCGCCGACTCGACGTGGTGCCGGCCACCCACCTCCTCGTGTGCCGTCCCAGCCTTCGTAGGTGCTACTCGCTAACAGCACTTGCCCCAACACCCTGTAATGGCTATACGGGGGATCTTTGTATCTTTTGTGTGTGTGGGGAGCGGTAGTGTAGCGGGTAGCGCTACGCTGCATTTCAAACCCGGGACTCGACTTAGATTCCCGCTCACGGCCATCACCAGTGAAGATTATCTGAACCGGTCCCGGGCCTTTGTCTTTGTGTAACGAGGTCTGTGATGAGGCATTGAGTGTGACGAGGTGTGTGACGAGGCATTGAGTGTGACGAGGTGTGTGACGAGGCATTGAGTGTGACGAGGTCTGTGATGAGGCATTGAGTGTGACGAGGTGTGTGATGAGGCATTGAGTGTGACGAGGTCTGTGACGAGGTATTGAGTGTGACGAGGTGTGTGATGAGGCATTGAGTGTGACGAGGTCTGTGACGAGGTATTGAGTGTGACGAGGTGTGTGATGAGGCATTGAGTGTGACGAGGTTTGTGACGAGGCATTGAGTGTGACGAGGTGTGTGACGAGGCATTGAGTGTGACGAGGTCTGTGATGAGGCATTGAGTGTGACGAGGTGTGTGATGAGGCATTGAGTGTGACGAGGTCTGTGACGAGGTATTGAGTGTGACGAGGTGTGTGATGAGGCATTGAGTGTGACGAGGTTTGTGACGAGGCATTGAGTGTGACGAGGTGTGTGATGAGGCATTGAGTGTGACGAGGTCTGTGATGAGGCATTGAGTGTGACGAGGTGTGTGATGAGGCATTGAGTGTGACGAGGTCTGTGACGAGGTATTGAGTGTGACGAGGTGTGTGATGAGGCATTGAGTGTGACGAGGTTTGTGACGAGGCATTGAGTGTGACGAGGTGTGTGACGAGGCATTGAATGTGACGAGGTCTGTGACGAGGCATTGAGTGTGACGAGGTGTGTGACGAGGTCTGTGACGAGGTGTGTGATGAGGCATTGAGTGTGACGAGGTGTGTGACGAGGCATTGAGTGTGACGAGGTGTGTGACGAGGCATTGAGTGTGACGAGGTGTGCGACGAGGCATTGAGTGACGAGGTGTGTGACGAGGCATTGAGTGTGACGAGGTGTGTGATGAGGCATTGAGTGTGACGAGGTGTGTGATGAGGCATTGAGTGTGACGAGGTCTGTAACGAGGTATTGAGTGTGATGAGGTGTGTGACGAGGCATTGAGTGTGACGAGGTGTGTGATGAGGTGTGTGACGAGGCATTGAGTGTGACGAGGTGTGTGACGAGGTATGCGTGCGTAACGCTATCAAAAAAAGTCACTTGCAGCGCCACACCGAGTACCGTCCTAAATGTAAAGAGTGGTGATCCGATCTCAGACCGCCAGGAACAAACAGGTTTGCGGGTTTGCTGAGCATTTGTGTGAAGGTGGACGGGAAACCTCCTCAGCCCAGGAAACATCGTGGGGCAAGGTGGGGGTTGTCCCTGCTGGGGCTGTGGTGCTACAGATATCAGAGGAGGAAGTAGCCACCCCTTGTGAGTGGCTGGCCGGCTGATGTGCCATCTGTTGTGGAAATACGTAAAGCGGTCCAGAGCCCGTGGCCAGGTGAAGTTCCAGGTAGAGATTACTTACCGAGCGAACTGCTTACGAAGAGTGGCGATTTTGTGCAGACTGCCCCATGTGACATGATCACAAACGTCTGGATCAGAGGACTGGTTCTGCAAAATTGGAAGGATGCTCTGGTGAGGGGTGAGGGGGGGTCCCTTTTTAAAGAAATGCTGTTCAATCTGGGGAGTTAGGAGACACTGCTGCTGAACCTAAGAGGGTGGGGCCTTAACATGAGCCCCACCAAAACTAAGCACCTAACTGGGGTGGGTTTATGTCGTCAAACACTCCACCCCCTCATCTCCCCGTGAGTGAAGAGGCAGTTGTGGAGAGAGTGGATGAAAGAGTTCCATTTCTGAGCAGTGTGCTCATGACTAATTCTGGTTTGGCAGTACATATACCGATGTGTGTTGAACTTCTTTCGCACCGTACATAACCACGTGTGCTAATTGAAGGTGCGAGAGGTATCCAGATAATTTGAACTCCATTATCTTTTCATTGGCTGTGTAACGCTGCGTGGAAGCTACCTGGCCTGTTGCTCTGTAAGAAGATGAAGATCTTTTCGGCTACAGTGAATGCCTTCCCTTTTCTATGCTCGTAAAATGTTGACCCCCGTCTAAAAAGAACGTCTGCGCCGATCTGGACACAGTCTCATCAGTGAGGCTTTGTTGGCTGGGTCATGTAGCCTGCATGTCCAGGCCACCGCATGCCCAAAAAGCTTGTTTGACCAGATAGAGGGTGTTAAATGGGCACGGCACAGGATGGAGAAGAGATGGGCTGATGCGGTGCAGGGGAATGTGGAGCCGATTGGACTTATCGGAGACTTGTACCAGCGGTGTCAAGATTGGCCTCTATGGAGGAGGCTCGTGAAAGACGCCACTGTGCAGTTGGAGGCAGCCTGCTCTCCAACCACAGCAGGCGGCTAAAATGCAGCAAGTTTGCATAGCGGGGCAGCACAGGTGGTGCATCTGCGGTCATCTCAGTCGGTGAAACCCATAGCACCTCGGTCTGTCCCGTGACCTGTCGGCGAGCTTTCAACACTTTACGTGGCCTCAAAGTGCACATAACCTGGCACGAGCGCTGTGGTGAAGTCACCGCCGCTTAATGGTGAATGGCGGCTTTTGTTGTGTGCAATAAGGGGTATATCGAAGTGCACCTAGCCTGGCACAGGCGACGTCACCGTCACTTAGTGGCGAATGGCGGGTATTGGTCTTGAGGCAGTGAGGTGTCACAAGGTTTATTGTGGTGCAGTGGGTCGGTGTGTAAACATCGCCACCTGGGAGACAAAAGCGGCCTGGGCGAGGTGCTGGCCACCCACCCTGTCGTGTTCCGTGCCGGCCTTCATAGGTGCCCGCTAACATGCATGCACTTCAACAGTCCGTTAAGGCTACACGGGGGATATTTGTCCTGTTAAAGGTTACATGGGGGAGCTTTGTATGTGTTGGTGCATGTGCATAGGTGTGTTTGTGTGTGCGGTGCGGTGGAACAGCGATTAGCGCGTTCAGCTACGAACCCTGTTACCCGAGTTCAAATTACCGCTCGCACCCAACACCAGAGACGATTATCTGAACCGGTCTTGGGCCTCTCCTTGGTCGACTCGGCCTCAAATGAGGTCCTTTGTGTGCGACGAGGTCCTAGTGTGACGAGGTGTGCGGGCGGCGTGTGTCACCACAGCTGGTGAAGTACTGGGAGGGCTTCCTGCCCGAGGCCAAGGCCATCATCTGAGTGCCACCTCCGTGTCCTCCACGCTACCACGGCACGCGGCCACCACGCCCCCCCGGCACTCGGCATAGACGCCAGGGCTCGGCGTGGGTCAGCGCAGCGACACATGGGCTTACGTGGGTGGCCTCATCTACTCCACGGAACACGCTACAACGCACACTACACACCGCACTACACTACACACCACGCTATGCTCTACTACGCTGCACACTACACACCCACTACATACTTCATACCGCCATGCTACACACCGCACTACACACAACGCTGTACACTGCACTTCACACCGCAACCACATACTACACACCATGTTACACACCATACTACACACTACTCTATACACTACTACGCTGCACACTACACACCGCACCGCATACTACACACCATGCTACACACCGCACTACACACCACGCTGTACACTACACACCGCACTACACACCACGCTGTACACTACACACCGTACTACCTCCACACCGCCAAGCTACGCACCGCGCTACGTACAACACACTGCCACACTTCACACCGCTCTATACACTACTACACACCGCCACATTACACGGCACCTTACACTAAACACACCTCACCATCACCACCGAACCCATGCGACGTCAAACCACGACCACAAAAACTCACCACCGCACACCACGTGGCCACCGCTGGCCGCGACCCCTCTTCTGCCTTGGCCACCGGTGGTGTGTGTTGGGTGTGTTGGGCGTGCGGTGGGGGAGGAGGGGGCTGGGTCCTGGTGGTGGTAGCAGCGGCATCAGCCAAGCAGGCTTGTGCCACAACCAGCGTTACCATGAACGACAGACAGCTAATTAACGCCAAGGCGGGGTGGGGGGGGCAAGTGCCGGGGGGGGGGGGATAGGGTTAGGGGGGGGGCGGGGGGCCCGCCCACCGCCCCCCTTCACTCCCGCCAGCCGCAATTACCGTCACCCAGTGGGGGGATCCAGAGCGCTTAATTGCAATTAGGGGCAAACAGTAGCGAGGCGTGTCTCAATCAGACGCAGCCGCAATCTGAGAAGCTGAAGTTTCAAATCCTCCTCGATCCGTTCCGGGGCCGCGATCTTCAAGGCCCCACCGCCGCGCCTCTTCTTCACGCGATTAAATTCAACCGCGCGACGTTCATACCCGCTGCTTGCCGCCAGCATAGACTCGTATTCTAAAGGTCACGACCCCTGGGTCACGGTTACAGGGGTCACGGTTACAGGGGTCACGGTGGTTAGGGTCGCCGCCTCGTCCGCAGGCCAAACTGCGGGCGTATTTCTCACTCGGCCTAGGTCTCCGATTCTTTTGTGCGGCTGCTGATGTAGATGCAGCACAAACAACGACCATTTCAGGATTCAGGTGGTCAAGGCAAGATAACTGCGTCGGGAGCAGCGGAGTGTATCGCCGTGATTTCTCCTTCGTATTTGTGGATCGGGACATTGCTTCGTCATACGTTGTACGGTCTGCTCTGGATCGAGTAGACATCTGTGGGAAAAATTCCAAGGCAATGCTGCCACGAGATCTTGGTACAAGTCAGTTGGTGCCACCCGAACGCAAGAGACCAAATTCCCATTCTGTCTGGGTGAAACCGTGACAGGTGGTGAACCTAGCCTTGGGGTAATGGGGCCATGATGTAGGTCGGCGAGTCTGGCGTTTAGGGGGGACCAAGGGGAGGCTTTAGAGGACATTCGGGGACCAAGTGGGTGGGAGGGGGGTGTGTCACCCGGCTTTTGGAACAGTTTAGGGGATGGGAAGTTTGAACCACCAGACCGAGGGTCGGTTATAATTTCATCTACAGTAGTGGCGGCAGTAAGCTGGTGTAGTGGATCACGTTAATGGCCTTGCAATCCACGTTGCCAGTTTAATCCCGTCTGAAACAATGGGTGGAAAGTTTCTTAAATCACCCCCCCCCCTCCCGACCCACCTGTCCACCACCTCAGCAGTATAAATGGCTTGCACCCCATCATCAATCTGCAGGTTGTGTGTGATGGGGGGTAGTGTGGATACTCCCACCCCTTACAACATAGGTCAGTGTGGAAGAGTAGACCAAATATACCCTCTGGAGGGGCTCTTGAAAGCTCGATCTCGCAGAGGCCCTTGCGCCTGCAGTGGCCCGAGCAAGAAGCTTCCGGGCTGCACCTTTGCCTGTACAGCAGCATCCTTAGCTGAAATTACAATAATGACACCGATTGAAATTTATTGTGGCAGCATTACAATTGATCCCAGGTGTGGTCACCAGCGACAGGGACCATGAGAGGACCCTGGGAGGGGTAAGAGGGACCACCACCCCACAGTGGGCGTGGTGGTCCTGTGGAGTGGTGAGTTCTGCCTGTCGTCCGTCGGTTTTGTTTTGCCAAAAAAACATCCGTTGCCACTGCCCCTTCTCTTATTCTCACTTGCACTCTAATCTCTTGCACCCCTTGATTAAAGATTCTGACAACCACTCACGTGCAGGGGACTGCTTTGGGGGAGGGGGGGGTGTTGGGACTGCTGATACGGAGGGACCCACCGGACCTCAAGGTTTAGACCAACCTTTTGCCAGGTAAGCCCCAAAGCTATATATATAGCTTTCTCAAAAGCAACCTGGCCTCAAATGATAGCTCAACGAGAAGTGGCTTGTGGAAATGTAGTGGGTGAATACTGCAACTGCATGACTTAATTATTGGCGGAGAATCCAGAGAAATCCAAATATTTAGACATCAGGATCAAACCCCATGATCTGTATACCTGGCAAGGCAGTTAATATCTCGTTTAAGATGCCAAATCTTTGGATCTCCAGACTTTGGACTACAGAGATGAGAAGGGACCCCAGGGGGTGAACCCACACAGCACACTCACAACATCGTAGTCGTAAAAAAACTTGTTTTATTTGTGTGAAACGCCGATTCTCCTGCAGCCACACGAAACGTTTGATCCAAAACGAAAAAAATAATACCCAATTCAAATCGGCCACGGTCCTTGCACCCACCTGGAAGAAAAGTGGCGGGCGCCACAGCAACACGGTTACCATGGGGATGGGAGGGGGGGAGATGGTCTTCGACCAGAAATTAAATTTGACAGCGGACCCTGCTGACCCCCAGTCAGGGTCTGGCTCCACCCCTCCACCCCCACAGAGGGAGGCAGAGTGGAGCCAGGTTTAGTTTTGTGGGTGACATCAGCAAGACGGTGCCGCCGGCTGCCATCGCGTCGCTCCGGTCACTCCTTGGCGATGGCAAAGGGCTTCTCGACGGGGACTGTGCCGCTGTCGGCGATGATGCAGTCCTTGAGCGGCCGGTCACGCCCGTCCGTCTTCGTCTCCTCCATCTTCTTGAGCACCTCCTGGGGAGCGCAAGTTGGGGGGCGAGGTGGGCGGGGCAGTGGGAGAGACGGCGTGCAGGGGGGGCGGATGGGGGCCAGCGAGAGGGGGTGGGGGGGCACACCACATGCATGTTAGCAGAGTTGGGGACGGGGGAGGCAGGAGTAGGGGAGTGGCAAAGGAGTTTGGTGTCCTCCAGGAGAAACAAAGGTGCGGGATGAATTCCTCTCGATTTGTTTCAAAATTGAAAAGTAATCGCGGCCAAAGCGGAGGAGGGGAGAGGCGTACCGGGGTGGGTAGCAGGGTTAATGTGAAGTGAAAGATGGCAGGATTAGTGGTTAGAGGCGACAGGGATCATCAGGGGGAGGGGGGAGAGTCTCCCTCTAGCTGCAGTGCCAGGCTAGATGCCACGCACCGGGGGCCCCACAGGCGCTACCAGCCCTCGACGGGCACAGTAAACGGCTCGGCAACGGCGATGGTGCCGCAGGCGGCTATGACAGCTTCGGCGAGCGGGCGGTTGTGCTCGTCCGTCTGCTGCAGCTCGATGGAGTGCACTACGTACTGGGGGTGTGGTTTAGCAGGGTGAGCAGGGGGGAAGAAAGCCAAAGTGGGAGTAGAGGGGAGCGTGAAGCAGGGTGGAGAAGAGGGAGCGTGAGATTGGGGGAGGGTGAACAGGGTTGAGACAAGAGGCATCACAGCCCGATGTGAAGCTGTAACCGTGTCGTCCCCCAAGACCCCCCCCCACCCCTCCGTGACCCCCACGCACGTCACGAGGTATGGGCGGCCCTAGGCAGGGAATCGTCACGTCATCGGCCACCATCACGGAAGCCGGGCAACAGCAGGGGAGGTCCACGGGCAGTGTCAGAATGCAAGGGGAGTGGGTGAAGCGTGTGAGGGAAGCGCACGTCCACGTGCCAAGTGCAAGAGAAGCACAATGGAAGCCTGCGAGTGAGAAGCACAAGCGGAGCGTGCCATCCATGTGCGAGTTTTGCACGAGAGAGACTCCCGTTCCGTGTCAGACAGCACAGAAGCGCAAAGGAAGCATGTGCGTGCGAAGCATTAGAGAAGCATGCACTACGTGCGTGAAAAGCTTTTATCCCCGTACGCGAGAAGTACGGGAAGGCGCGCATGGGAAGAGCACGTGTGCGTGCGAGAGCGGCACTCACCATGCCCTCGAGCACCTTGCCGAACACGACGTGCTTGCCATCGAGCCAGCCCG